GCCCCGTTTCCATGGTCACAGGGGGTGGGGTGATCAGAGAGACCCACCCGTTGTTGGGCACCCGCCGTGCAGACCGGACTGCTCACTGGTGGGCTGGCCTCGGGGGCGGGGGTGTATGTGTGTGAAGCCCCACTCACTGTCCCTGCTGCTATGATGGGCACCCTGACAACGGGTCAATCGCAACATTGTGGCTCCTGGTGTCTTGCCTGGTCCCTCCAAGACACCTGACTTCTTCAGTTATGGTTCTGTTCAGCTGGATTTAGTGTCCTTCAGTCCATCCGTTCCTGACAAGAAGATCACGCCATTGTACAGCCTGCCTTTCCACCATCGTCAGATACACACTCTCCGCCCTCAGCCCCTCCCTCACACCCAGCGAGGGAGGCCTGGGGAGGGGACCTTGTGCCAGGGGCAGACTGTGGGCAACCTTCTGAAAATGCTGGGGCTGGGGATGCAGGGACCTGTGCCTGGCTTGGCTAGCCATCTCAGAGGCTGGGGGAACCACCTTGCAGGGCCAGTCAGCCGAATTGATATCCGGGGTTGAGAGGAGTCTTGGCCCTGAGGCCCCTGCCCATCTAGGCTGACCCTCCTGGGGCCATCTTCCATGGGTTCTTGGGGGGAGGAGTAAAGCAGATCTTTGCACCCAGTCCCCTTGGCTCCAGCTGGGGCTCCAAGATCGGAGCAGTTTATGTGTGTGTTGTGGGGGGGCAATCGGGGGCTCTCCAGTGCGTTGCAGGGCCCCAGCCCCACAGCCCGTACCTGTGCTGCACTCTGACTCCCACTGCCTTTTGCACACTAAGGACGTCTCCCTTCCCGTCCACTCCCCTGGAAAGAAGCGCTGTCCCCTGCTACCAACAGGGAGCACCAGGGATCTCTAGGCTTGTTCCCGGAGGCTCCAGGCAGCCACTTAACCCCGGCCACCGCAGCATGGACGCCACGGCCCTTCCTTTAATCAACAGGAAACACGGCCTTGCCCTACAAAGCGTTTTGCTGGGCCAGTAAATTCAACCTGCCCAGAGAGCGTGATTTTGCTGGCCTAGGTGGGGGTTTGGCGAAGTGTGCTGCAGAGAAGAATGTGCACTTGGGGAGACTGTGGGGCCAGCCCCGAATCCTGCCCGCCCTTGCAGCTCAACCTCGCTCTCCAACTGTCTTGGAAGCCAGGCATCCAGGGCCACCAGGAGGAACTGGGCGCATGGTCCGGAGCCTGGCCCCCAGCCTGACTTTGTGAGTGTAGAGCCATTCCCACTTGCAAATGATAAGGAAGCAAGCTAAGTCCTGCCCCCAGTCCACCTTTGAGCACCTCTCTGCAGGGGCGGGCCCCTGGGGTGTGCTTTCACTCCAAACAGCTCCCCACCTTCGGGCGGGGCAGACCACAGGTGCGGTGGGCACTGCGGCTACCTTTGTGAAAGGCTCCCAGGAGCTACTGGCCACTTGAGACGCAAGCATGGCTTCTGAGACTGCGGGTAGATGACATCAGCGCTATCCCCCCAGTGCTTTAGTGTTTGCTTCCACCCCTCCTTTTTCCCCTGGGTTTCTTTGGGAAGAAAACATTTTGTGACTTCTGGGACTGATCTGTTTGCGAGGCACCTGAAGTCATGCACCCTCCCTCCTCCGGCACTGACCTTCTGCCCAGTCTCCTGCTCACCTCAAGGTGCTGTCCGTTGGGAAGAGGCTCGAGACAGGGGCCAGAGTGACCACCAACCACTGGATTCCCTTTGGCCAGCGTTCAGGTCTCAGACTGAGGGAGGGACTGGCACAGAGGCATCCAGAGCAGGTCGTGATGGTGGAGCAGGCTGCCAGTGTCATGCCCCCTGCTCACACCCGCCCCAGTCCCTTTGCACCTCCTTGCCCTCTCTTAACATTCTTTTTAAAATTGGGATGAAACTCATGTCCTCAACTAACCGCCATGGGGTATCTAGTACCGTCACGATGTGGTGCGGCCGCCCCCTCTGTCGAGGTCCAGAATATTCTCCTTGTTCCAGGACATGCTCATGGCACCTGAAGGAGGCCCACACCCACTGACTGTCCCTCTCTGAGATCCCCTGTCCCCTCCCCTCCCAGCGCCGC